CACTGTTCATCCCTTTTTCATTCTACCAAATTCAAACACACATCACTACACATATCCCCATTTTTACAACAATTATTTACTATATATCTATATACATATATAAAATAAAATGCGGGGTGTTACATTTTCCATAGATTTACATGACCAAAATCAAATTTAGCAATTGTTTTAAAAAAGATGGTTTAAAAGCCACAAGTCAGCTTTTCTTCATCCTTGAGAGGCCCTGTGTGTGAGCCGTCCACTGGTGTGTACTCCATACTTAAAATGTTATCCGTAAAGGGTGAGCCACACTTAATAGAATATCTCCTAAAAAGGCTACTCCCCAACTTAGATGCATATGAAATGTCACATGCAATTTCAACAAGCCACAAAGCATTCCAATCAAGAATATGCAACTCAATGTTAGAATTCACTATGTCATGGCATAAAATGAGATGAGACTCATTCATGCAACTCAACTCAAGCCCTTATCGGCTCCCATAACACATGCAATGTCATGAGTATAAAATCGGGCATTCCAAGCCCTCGCCATTGATGTTGTACATCCAATGACCTTTTAAAATAAACCATGTGACTTTGTTGGGTATTCGGATTNTCCATAGATTTACATGCCCAAAATCAAATTTAGCAATTGTTTTAAAAAAGATGGTTTAAAAGCCACAAGTCAGCTTTTCTTCATCCTTGAGAGGCCCTGTGTGTGAGCCGTCCACTGGTGTGTACTCCATACTTAAAATGTTATCCGTAAAGGGTGAGCCACACTTAATAGAATATCTCCTAAAAAGGCTACTCCCCAACTTAGATGCATATGAAATGTCACATGCAATTTCAACAAGCCACAAAGCATTCCAATCAAGAATATGCAACTCAATGTTAGAATTCACTATGTCATGGCATAAAATGAGATGAGACTCATTCATGCAACTCAACTCAAGCCCTTATCGGCTCCCATAACACATGCAATGTCATGAGTATAAAATCGGGCATTCCAAGCCCTCGCCATTGATGTTGTACATCCAATGACCTTTTAAAATAAACCATGTGACTTTGTTGGGTATTCGGATTTTCAGAGTCTCATAGCCGGTTCTGCACACCATTACACATTTTTGGAATTGCACTGCTGAAAAAGTGTATAAATCAAGTAACCGAATCTTGCATCCGAGGGAGAATCTAGCCCTACTTGTTATACCAGACAAAAGTTTTTTTTTTCAAGAAACCATGCGGCTCTGTCAAACCTTGGTCGGACTATACCAAGCCCACTTATCAACCTCCAAGAATGGTGCTTGATTCAAAAATGCACACACACCCATAGTCACGGGCATATGCAATGTAATGAAAAATTACAATATCAATATCATATCCATATGTAATGAATGTCATATGAACTATTTCAACCACATTTCATGGCCAACTATATCCAAGGCATATAATTTCCATAAAACATCACAATGTCAATATATCAACAAACATATATCAACATTTTTATTCAACTACTATTTTCCCAAGTATGTTATACATAATCTATGCAATAACATACTTAATTTCACATAGGCATTTAATCAAACACATTTAAGACACCAAATCATGAATATCCAAATTCATTACATAACTCAAGAAATCACATTAAATGACTTATACATACCTATTTATCCAAATTTCCAAGAAATCACAAGCTAGCAATTTGTAATTACCAATTCATACAAGCATTGAATTTACCCATTTCCTTTTCTCATTTCATCAAATCACCACTGTAGGGAAGTGTTAAATACATCTAACAATCTACCCATTTCATACAATCATCCTAGGTTGGAAATAAACTTAGTTAGGATGAAAACTCTACCTCTTGAAGTGTAAAACAATGGTAGGAAGCCCCAAAAACCCAAATCTCGCCCAAAACCAAGCTTTCCCCAAAATGCAATCTATGAACTTTGGTGAAACCCGTCCTTTTTGGTACGTAGACATAGTCCTTATCGCGTAGATCAAATTTAATACTTAGTTCGAAGGATTCCGACCGACGAAACTCCGTAGATCGTAGAGAAAAGTCTAGAATCTTAATTTTTCTCCTCCCTACTCTCTCTTCCTCTTCCAACGTGAAACCCAGCAGAGTTGTGGGGAGAAAATCAGATTTTTCTCTCCTATGTGTACCCTTTAATGCTTGGTCCACGTAGAGCCACATGTTCCCTATTCTCGGGTCCGTTTTCGCCCCGAAACGATTAAATTTTGTCCCGGTTTAAGTTCAAAATATTTTTATATGAACTTCCTTTAAATTATTAAAAAAAAATTAAAATTTTATTTTCGGGGTTGTTTTTGACGTCACCCGACACTCAGTCACCTCAAAAAATACAAAAAATCGACTATCTTAGAATTCAACGAAAATTGATAGAGTAATTAGATTTCGTGAGAAGAATCCAACAGTGAGGTCCATTTCGTCATCCAGGTTCTAGAAAAATTCAAGTTTCTTACCCGTACTGTAATGACAATTTACCATTTTGTCATTTTTCGTAAATAGTTCAAATTTACCCAGGTTTTACACCTATAACTGTCCTCCCACTACTCGAGTGTTTTTTTGGTCCCTTAGACAAACCATATTCCGAGACTATAAATAGGGAAATATCTTCCCAACCTAGGGTAAGCATCTTGTGAGTAAATTCATCATATCTTACGCCTTGAATGCTTGAGCCATAACCCTAGATCCCTGAATCCAAAGGTTGTCATCTAGTGATTACTGACCAAACTCACACCTTGTAGAGGAAGACATTGTTTGGTTGAACAAAATCCATTGGCAAGTGTGTATACCGAGATTCATGGGTGTGTCCTGTGAATGCTCAAAGCCTAATCGAACCGTGTAGAGGGGAGTTCAAGTGAAGCTATACAAGATGTCAAAGAGGGAGCTTTGACGGAGAGGCTTATTGAAGGAAAGAAACATCTAAGAATGAAATTGATTAAGGTATAAGATTTGAGTACTTGTAAGCTGACTTTGAGACAGTGGATTAGGTTTTGATAAACCCTGAGCAATTCCCCACGATTTTTTCTAAGAAGGGTTTCCATGTCAGTAAATCACTTGTGTTATTTATTACACTCATGGAGACTATGTATTTGATGAATTGATTGAATCCACTTATCATACATAGTTACTTGATTGGGTTTGGGTTCCCATGGTTGGAATCACCGTGTGAGATTGAGTGTTAATCAACAAATTAATAAAGTCAATACACTAATCTACATGAGAGTTTTGGGTTATGGTAGTTGAAAGAGGTTCTCATACTTCATGTTCATATCATTGTGTGTTGAAGTAATTTTGGTAGACATAGGTTAAATTTGGTAGCCGTCCGAACTGATATTTTAATTAACCTATTCAACCTCCTCTATGTAGTGTCTAGTGATCTACGTGTATAATCATAAAGAAAAATTCACTTCATATTTCTCCTCATGCTACAAAAAAAAATTGGTATTTGTTAAATCAAGAATGTTTAAGAAACCTATTCACCCCTCTAGGTTGTGACTTGCTCGTACGAATGAGTAACCCACGAATAAAAATTCTTAGTGACTTGGGCTGATGAAATTGTGTCATGGGAAGATTGTGTAGATGAGAGAGAAGCTTTGTCTTTCTGCTCCCCTAGGGAATTAGTGATAGAAGTGAAATAATAGATTATTATTTTCACTCCATGCCTACGCCTTCTAAGGAGATTTTTGTTTGGAGACCTTCTGGGAATCTTCCTGTTGTCGGACCCATCCCATATGTATAATCGTAAGGGAAGATCCACGTTGAATCTCTCCCCTATCCTATCCTTGTTTTTATTCACCAGGTGTTATTGCAAGGTACACAAGTTTGATCCCCTAGAAAATGTGGAACCATCGCATTTGTGGAGTCGTTGTTATGGAGGCCCACACATGGTTGAAGGAGACAACACCTTATGCGCACGAATGGGCTCATTGAGGGAAAGCAAATCATGGTCATGTGGGCTTAGCATCGGCCTTAAGCATGCAGACCAAGTCGTGGGCTAGCCATGACTTGACACGTTAGCACAAACAATTCACCATGTTAGGCATACAAGGATGATGTTGGTTGCCACGCAAACTGTTAAGAGCAATTAGTAGCGGACTTAAAAGACAATTATGTAGATAGAACCGCTACAGGAAGTTGGACTTGCACTTGCAGGTGGTAGATGACCTGGTAGATTGTAGGAAAACCTTCACAGGCCTTGGTAGCACGATCTGCATTTTGCCAACACACCTAGCAGTTGGGGGGTGTTAACTAGAAGGCTTTGTTAGCCTGTGCTGGTTGGTGCCAAGCCAGGCAGTTGTTTTGTAGTTTTTATTGTACTGCAAAAAAGGTGTGTATTTCGTTAGTAGTCCCAGGCTCCTTGGGACTTGTTTGAGAAGTAAAAAAAATTGGAATTTTGTCCTTCTTGTGTAGTGTTCGACAAATTGTACTTTTGTATGTGCTTTAGCTTAGACTAAGTATGCAACTTAGTGTCGTCATAGCGAAAAAAATTATGACAAATGTGACCCGTCTAATACTAAGCCACACATGGTTGAAATAGAGTAAATCATCAATTTCATCCTTTAATTGCAAGTTAAGAAAGATTTAATGCAAAATATAATTTGTTATCGTCCCAAAATATAGGGGCTTTCTATTATTACCCTTAACAATTTGGTTCAAATGACTTCAGAACTTTCTCGAAGCTTTATGCTAGGCCCATTGTCTAGCTCTTCAAAATAATTTCTAGACTACTAAACCAATTATTTGATAACTAAAACCTCCAACATTCAAAAGTCACAATAGAAGCTAGCTGTTGAAGAAAGCGACCCCACTACAGTTGGTGGATTTGTCAATTTCCCAATTTCAAAATGTTCATTTTTGACTTTACAGGTGAAGGAGACTCAGATCTGGATTTCTAACAAACAAAGACAGCAGTTTAAAAATGAAGAAATAAAATGCATGAGCTGTGCTCCACATTTAAGTTTTGTGGTAGGTTCATAGTCATACAATTTTTTTTTTTTAAGTCAAACTCAATCAAAGGAATTAATCAAAGGGACAAAAGTATTACACAAAAAGGTGTTTCATATTGACAAAGCCCGATGTTTTGGCACATGTGCACACATCAAGCGAGTGAAATTACGTGGAAGATCCAGTCGTGGACCGAGACAACGTTGGAGGTGCCAAGCACGCAGCCAAGGCTCTTTCTAGGCTATTTACAACCTCCGTCATCGTGGGTCTATTCCTACCTTCTAGTGTAACACAGTCCGTGGCAAGATACCCTACGTATGCCACAGCTTCTATCTCATATGGTGTCGGAGGGGGTACCCTCCGGTCCAAAATCCTATGTATTTCATCTTGAACTATATATGGGACAACGAAATCCACCACATTTCTGGGCATTCCATTCTCGTTCTTATGAATTGCCCTATACCCAGATAACAATTCGAGCAATACTACTCCAAAACTATACACATCACTCTTAGTCGTTAATTGTTGCAATCTAAAATACTCAGGATCCATATAACCGACTGTACCAGCAGCACGTAAAGAAAGGTGTGACTCGTCACCCTGTGGCCCCATCAAGGATAGTCCAAAATCAGAAACCTTGGCGGTCCATGTGATATCGAGCAATATGTTGGATGATTTGATGTCACGGTGTATGATTGGCGGCATGGCGTACACGTGGAGGTACTCGATTCCCTTGGCCGCGTCTAGGGCCACCTTGATTCGTGCAGCCCACGACATCAGAGGTGAGCTCTCGAGCTTGTGGAGGTGGTCATGGAGTGTGCCATTGTCCATGTACTCATAGACTAGTACACGCTCATTGTTGTCTTCACAAAAACCCAGTAGCCTAACAAGGTTCTTGTGGTGGAGCCGGGACAGAAACTCCAACTCATTTAGGAATGCATTGTCCTTGTCCTCTTGGCGTCTGGTGAACCCAGCGTATGATGAAGAGGTTGATACTTCAGCTCTCTTTATTGCCACTTCTCTCCCATCATCTAATCTGCCATGGTAGACTACTCCAAAGCTTCCAGTGCCAATTCTGTGCTCCTCGGAGAAATTTTTGGTGCTTTTAAGCAATTCTTGTAAAGAAAATTCTTCTAAGTTACCCCCATTTCCCTTGCTAACCAATTGGCTTAGTCGTTTTTCTAGAACAGGTTGAGGTTGAGAAGTCTGGCCGTGTTGCTCGGGTTGCGTCCCACTCTCGTCCAACCGGCCCGAGTCGTGAATTCGACTCCCTCTAATTTTGCAATAGCGAAAAAATAAGAAACAACAGCTTGCTACAAATGAAAACGACCCAAAGCATCCTACCACTAGGAAAGCCACCATTTTCCGACTCCAACGACTGCTTCGCGTTGTCCTCTGAGGCGGTGGTAGTGATGGTGACAGCGATGGTGGTGATAATGGTACCACTCCAGAGGGTATCCTGACACAAAGCTCACATATCATTAGTCCTTGACTACAATAGCTACCAAATTTAGGTAGAGGATCACAAGGACATTTTCTTCTACATGGACCCGGAACTACATCATTCAAAACCACGGAATTCGAATCCAGAATCTCATTACCCCAACAATACAACGAATAATTCTCCATTGCAACCCCACAAAAAACACTGCCTTTTGCTTCAATTGACATAAAAAATGTCCCTTGCAAACTTTTTGATAGACTAAAATTACTTTTCCCCCAACAAACCACTGTTCCATTACGCCTCATGGCGCAACTCCGATTCTCTCCCAGAGCCATTGATGTGAATTCATCACCTAGTGGCTTCTCACCCTCCAGCTCTCCCCAACATTCTAAACTGCCATTCAAAGAGATGGCACAAGCGTGGCGAAAACCGGCTGCAATCACACTGTAGTTCCCACTGGGTTCATGATCAATAACATTTCTATAGCTTCCCAAACATTGGATTTGTCCATATTCCAATAACCCACAAACAAAATTTTCTCCTACAGCAATACCTGAAACGAATAGATTAGTGCCGGAATTAAATTTGGGCCATTGCCAGCACTCGAGGAGATTAGTCCCATCAACAATACCGCAAATGTGGGTGTTTCCAGCGTCGAGTTCATTGAGAGATGAGCCGAGATAAATTCTCTTGTATGACATATTAGTGCCGTTAGCAGAGAATCTCCAGCAAACCATGAATGAAGTTGTTGGGGAAGAGGGTGCGGGTGCACTCACAGCACAGAGGAATCCATTTCCACCTACAATTCCAGAGAATGATGTGTTTGTAGAATTGAGAGGTATTTGAATTCCACTGGGAAAGCTGGAACAGTTCAGATACGATTGTTGCTCAGAAGAGTGGATTAATGCACAGATTAATGTTTGATTTGAAGTTTCTGATATTGCTACAGTGGAAAGTGAATGAATCAATGGAAGGAAATAAATAGAGTATAAGGTTAGAGAAATGAGAAAGGGGTTTCTGAAAAGAATAGCCATGGAAATATTGTGTAAGGAGATGGTTTCATGGTGAGGGAAGGGAAGAGATGATGATTTGAAGATGGCTTCTTTTTTTTTTGGGTTTGATTAATGCTGAGGTTTTAGGCCAGTTTTAAGGGTGTTTCGCTTTGAAGAAGAATCAAAGAAAAGGTAAAACGCGGTTTTGGTGAGGACCAAAGACCAAGTCGCTTGAAATAAGTTTGGAGAAGAGGAGTGTGTGGTCAATAATAGGAAGCATTCATATGTGACTCGCACTACCAACTGGTTCAACCTCAACTTTTTTCGACACTCGTAGACCACTCGGACAACAGGTCGACTTACTCGGTTACAGATACTCATCGAAAAAATAAAGAGTAATGTTACACTAATCAAACTTTTGGACTAAATTTGGAACTTAAATGACATGGTAGCATATTATTTGAAGTTTTTATTGGAGCCCAAATGATATGATATCAAATAAAGAAGTCAAGCTAGCTGACATGTCATTTTAGCTCTAAATTTGATCCCAAAATTTGGTTAGTGTAGCATTACTCAAAAATAAAATGACTTACTCAGTTAAGTGGGTATTTAGTAAGAATCAGTATTGCTAGATTAACTAATTTTTGAGACCAAATATGGAGTGTAAATAGCATGACAGTTGATTTGGGTTCATTTATTTAGTTTCATATCATTTGCACTTTAAATTTGGTCTTAAAATTTAGTCAGTGTACCATTACTGAGTAAAAATAGCTTGAAAATAGAGGACATACCTCAAAAGTTTCAATTTTAAATTTTCTAAATTTTTAATCAGATTCAATCATTTGTTAATGATTTAAGATTTTGTTTGTTGTATATTTGGATTGTGGGTATGTTAAAGTTTGATTGTACTTAAAATCTAAAAACACATGACCTTATTTATTCGAACAAGCGTGAAGTTCTAAAATCGTGACTGTTCAGGCAATTATAACGAAGTGTAATACTACTTCTAGGTTCTTTTCAATGTCTTGGAGTTTAAAGACTTAATTAATTTCCAACTAATAATGTAATGAACTAGAATGTAGAAAGACAATTGGAATTAAATTAATAGAAAGATTGACAACGGTAAATGTGTAAAATATAGTATTAAAAGAACAAAAAATCACCGAAGTGATGGATTACAAGCTAACAAAAATTGCAGGAAAATAATCTAAGCAAGCAGATGTTAACTCTATGTATAGTTGTTGTGTTAATCGAAGATCCTCTCTTTGTAGCCCTGCCTTTTGTATTTATAGGAGATGACATTCAATTGTCGAAGCCATCTTTTTCTACCATGACTACAATTATGGCCTCTTCCCCTGATACTTTTAGACGTGTACTGAACCATCTGTATCTAACAGCTCCTAATGTCATCTATCCTCGTTCCTAATATTCAAAGAGTTATGCTTCTTTAATTGTCCTGTTATACTTGAACTCTCCCTGACCGTCTCCTGAATGTTAGATTTGTGCCATGTGTTATTATCAGATTTTAATATTTTGGCTGTAAACATTGCCCCCCCTCCTCAAATGACGTGATTGGTCTCTTCATATTTAGAGCTTCGTTTTGGTTATTCGAATTTGAATGGTTGCCGCTCGAATCGCTTTGCTTAGTTGTTATATGATTGGTTGTAAAACTTAGAATGTGCGCCTTAGCTTCCAAGTGTAGACTCTCAGTCTTCATATTGTCCTTTCAAACCTACAAGAAACGTCTGCCACACCATCCGTCTCTATCCCTTCATCATTCTGATGATTCGTTCCCCATGCCTATAAAAAACGTCCTTAGACTCAAAATTTTTCATTACTCTGACTTTACACTCTTTATTTTTCTTTGATGGCCATTCCTCACACTGTCACCCTAGAAATGACTTTTCCATACATTAATGTTGATAATGTCAACCTCTATACCTTTGCCTCACTTTCAGATTCTCCCCCAGTAATGAGGGGTCTTGGTCTTGCTTTTACGTAGCCTCCTTTAGATAAAATTCGACATATCTATCCTAGTCCTCATATTTCTCTTCCATTCAAGTGGTTGAATTGGACTTCTAGCACTCCAATTCGTGTACGAAAGTCTCCNACTTAAAATCTAAAAACACATGACCTTATTTATTCGAACAAGCGTGAAGTTCTAAAATCGTGACTGTTCAGGCAATTATAACGAAGTGTAATACTACTTCTAGGTTCTTTTCAATGTCTTGGAGTTTAAAGACTTAATTAATTTCCAACTAATAATGTAATGAACTAGAATGTAGAAAGACAATTGGAATTAAATTAATAGAAAGATTGACAACGGTAAATGTGTAAAATATAGTATTAAAAGAACAAAAAATCACCGAAGTGATGGATTACAAGCTAACAAAAATTGCAGGAAAATAATCTAAGCAAGCAGATGTTAACTCTATGTATAGTTGTTGTGTTAATCGAAGATCCTCTCTTTGTAGCCCTGCCTTTTGTATTTATAGGAGATGACATTCAATTGTCGAAGCCATCTTTTTCTACCATGACTACAATTATGGCCTCTTCCCCTGATACTTTTAGACGTGTACTGAACCATCTGTATCTAACAGCTCCTAATGTCATCTATCCTCGTTCCTAATATTCAAAGAGTTATGCTTCTTTAATTGTCCTGTTATACTTGAACTCTCCCTGACCGTCTCCTGAATGTTAGATTTGTGCCATGTGTTATTATCAGATTTTAATATTTTGGCTGTAAACATTGCCCCCCCTCCTCAAATGACGTGATTGGTCTCTTCATATTTAGAGCTTCGTTTTGGTTATTCGAATTTGAATGGTTGCCGCTCGAATCGCTTTGCTTAGTTGTTATATGATTGGTTGTAAAACTTAGAATGTGCGCCTTAGCTTCCAAGTGTAGACTCTCAGTCTTCATATTGTCCTTTCAAACCTACAAGAAACGTCTGCCACACCATCCGTCTCTATCCCTTCATCATTCTGATGATTCGTTCCCCATGCCTATAAAAAACGTCCTTAGACTCAAAATTTTTCATTACTCTGACTTTACACTCTTTATTTTTCTTTGATGGCCATTCCTCACACTGTCACCCTAGAAATGACTTTTCCATACATTAATGTTGATAATGTCAACCTCTATACCTTTGCCTCACTTTCAGATTCTCCCCCAGTAATGAGGGGTCTTGGTCTTGCTTTTACGTAGCCTCCTTTAGATAAAATTCGACATATCTATCCTAGTCCTCATATTTCTCTTCCATTCAAGTGGTTGAATTGGACTTCTAGCACTCCAATTCGTGTACGAAAGTCTCCTACTTTAGAATGGGTCTTATGGGTTGGTCGTGTTAGAGCAGCCAAAGGCAACTTGTGGCATTAACTTGGAATTTTTGTTGCCATAGACCTTAGCACCATCCAAATGTCTATTGACAAGCCATTACTTAGAACTCTTTTCTTTTGTTCTGTAGCGAACAATGCTTTCAATTTTTGCTTCAGGATGATAAGCTCCACAGTTTATGACGTGTCTACATTTTTTGGCTTTCTTCTTTTTAGGGTTGAGGCTAACACCTTATTATCTAATATTTACACAGTTTACTTACTTGATCCAAAATGTATATACCTAAGTGCAGGCGGTCAAGCTGTAGTAATAATCCGGTTAAGTCCAGAGTCGAATCTACAGGGAACTATGATTGGTGTTTTGAAGTAAGCAGTGACAGAGACCAAGTAACTGAAAACCTTGAGAGTTTGAAGTTATGTGATTTGTTGGATAGAATATAATATTCTTTCCAATTGATTTTTTTTATAGACAAAATATAAGATAAATTATCAAAGTTAACAACCACTATTTAGTTTGAGGATTTCAACATGTAATTAATCATCCGCTTTATTATACTCGTGCTTTATAACTCAATTAACCCCCGTGTCAACAACAAGTTAATCGAAAGATAAGGATAGACTGTGAGAATTAAGCACATGGTTCCAATGCCTTTCTACAAGTTTAGAAGAATTGTCTGTGCTGAGACTCAACCCGTCTACAAACAAGCAAGTGTTTCTACAACGCATCCAACAATGACATTAATGTTCCATTCTTTAAATAAAGCACAATAAATGGTGAATATTGAAANACGCATCCAACAATGATATTAATGTTCCATTCTTTAAATAAAGCACAATAAATGGTGAATATTGAAATGCTGTTATAAAAATCTAGTCGGGGTACTTGTCTTGAACCAACGGGTCTTTCTATGCAAGAGTTATCCGTGTCATAAAAAGAACCCCACGTTATATAAAGTACCTTAGCTTTGCTAGATACATTCAATCATTCAATAAGCAAGTAGAATATAAAATAATAAAGCATAAAATAAATGCACAAATATAACTTCTGAATAATTTATACATATTCATCACCCCCTTACTGAAGAATGAATGAGGAACTATTCACTCTTCATGGCTTTGGTAAAGCTGAAAAAGTGAGTGATACTCACCCCTCCAAGTAAAGGAGTTACAATGTAAAATACACTAAACAAAGAGCCGATCTTCAACGAAAAATGAGTGAATCACGTCCTACCCTTCACGGCTTTGGTAAAGCTCTAGAAAAGTGAAAGAGTTTCACTCCTCTAAGAAAGAAGGAAGCTCAAGCAATGGAAGTGAAAGAAATGAACAATGAATGTGGAGGAATGCTAGTCACTTTTGAAGGGTTGCTTCCTTAACCAACAAATGGAGGGTTGCTTCCTCAACCAAAAGATGGAGGGTTGTTTCCTCAACCAACAAATGAACTATCTCTCTTGATACAAGCAAATATAAATCTAAGAGTAAGACTAACCATATGTGTGGGAGTTTAAGCCTCCATCCAAGCTCTTTACTAGTTCTTGGTGTAGTCTAAGCCTTACAAACCAAGTTCTAGTGTATCTCAAGAATCATCTCCCGTTCAAAGGCTCCCCCAAGGGGAGTATTTATAGGCAAGGAGGAGAGGTGGGGGAACAAGATATTGGGAAGGAATAGTGTATGTCGCTTAAGTCCAAGTGAAAGCCAACTACTCTGCAGCATACCTATGGAGAATGTTCAAACGTGATCTGGCATTTGAATGTTGTTTCTCATTTTGCTTTATGGGCATTTGAAGGTTGT